ATCCAAGTGAGAGAAGTCAGGGCTCACCCACATAGGCCCATTCAAGGCCAAGGCCTTGGCATTCAGAACAAACAGGAAGCGGATCCCTGGGCCTCTTAGGCCAGCATCCAATTCTCTGGGGCTCCCTCTGGGGCTGGGACTGCTCCCCCCATCTCCTCCCCCCCACAACCCCCACCCTCACCACCCTCCATGGCTGTGCCCCGCCCCACCCCTCAGGCTTCAAGCTCAACAAGAAACTGTACGAGCTCATCATCACCCGCTACTCGGAGCCCGACCTGGCTGTGGACTTTGACAACTTCGTGTGCTGCCTGGTGCGCCTGGAGACCATGTTCCGTAAGCATCCGTCCGCGGACACCCACCCTCTCGCTCTGTCCCAAAGCACCCCACGAGAGCGGGTGAAAGGACAACTGGCTTAGCACAGCCCTGGAGGCTGCTGTGTGGAAACTTGAAGGCTGGTGCTGGGAAGTAGGGAGTGGGGTGGGGACCTGAAGGGGGCTCTCAGGTAGTGGGGTGAGCCTCCTCCAGGCTCCGAGGGGTGAATGAGCTGGAGGGTGTTGGGAAGGTGGCGGGGACAGAGACACAGGTGAGGGGGCAGTCCCGGCCTTCCAGGAGTGCCCCCACTGACTCTCAGCTTCACACCCTCTTGTCTTGAACACAAAGGATTTTTCAAAACCCTGGACACAGATCTGGATGGAGTCGTGACCTTTGACCTGTTTAAGGTGGGACCCTCCTGGGAGCTGTGGACGCTCCTCGGGCTGCTGAGCTTGCTTACCTGACCTGAGCTTAGGCAGGGGCTGTGCATCCCGGAAGGACGGGGTGGGTTGTCGGGGCTCTGGGAGGGGAGGGCCAGGCCCTGGTGGCCTCTGTGGGAGCCCAGAGCCTGGTCTCCAGGGAGTAAGACGGTAGACCTGGGCTCCTGAGCTGTGGGGCTGGGAGGTAGACTTGGGGACCCGGGAGGCAGGACCAGCTCATTACTGCTGCCCCCAGCTGACCTCTCTCCACTCTGTGTCTCTTCCCTTTAGTGGTTGCAGCTGACCATGTTTGCATGAGGGGCTCCAGCCTCCCTGCTGTGCCCCCTCCCTCCTTTGTCTGCCAAGCCACACCTCCCGCCAGCACCCCACTTGCAAGTGCCTTCCTGGAGCGTGGAGGCAGCCCTTCCTCCGGTCCCCTACCTCCCAGGGCTCATCTGCCTGGGCAGAACCAGGCCACAACGCTTCTGGCCTCCACCAGCTGCTGGCTCAGGCTGGACTCCCCGGCCCCTCCTGTCACCAAACAAGAAGACAGCGTTTGCTTGTTCTTGCCCCAGCGTGGGGCTCCCAGGGGAGCCGGCAGCCCCAGGCCCCTCCCCAGAACTCTGATGTGCCCCTTCCTGTCACCCCCTGGGGCTCCCAGCCCCACCCACCAACCTCACTGCAGACTTTCAAACTTAACCACTAGCTTGACACGGTCGTGGGGCGTCCAGGCTGTGCAGAGCCCACTCCTGCTGGGGCCTCCCCAAGGCTGGGACATCTTGTGCCCTCCTGTGTAGAAGCCAATACCCAATGTATTCCCGGGTCTGCCCTCCCCACCCTCCCAGGAAGCCACCTGCCTGGAAAGTGGTCAGGCCACTCCCCTACTTTTTTTTATATCGGTGATCCAAAGGGGATTCCTGAGGGACTGATTTACTGGTTATGGGGGTGCCAGAGGCGTCTGGGCGTGGGGAGGGGGGGGTCTCATGCACAGAAACTCCAAATAAAAAGGAAAAGGGCCCCCTCTGGCTCTGGAGTGTGTTTCTGCCCAAACCTGCTGCCTGGGAGGAGTGACTGTTGGCATCACCCCCTACCACACCCCTGCCTCATCAGCCCCTCATCTCTTTCCTGTTGCTCTGGGGACTCAGGCCCCTGCTGGAGTACTGGGTAGCTGGCCCTGGAGGGCAGGGAGCATGGGCCCGGGGCCCCAGCTGCAGGGACAAGCCACACTGTCAGGGTCCCACATGGCCCTGCATGGTCGTACACTCCCATCACTGTCCCAGAGGCTTGTCCATCCGCACCTCCCCTGCATACTTCTGCCCCACGAAGCTCCAGCTGAAACCTAAACCCCTACTTAGCATGAACCCGACCCCCCAGGGAGCTCCCCAGAGCACAAAGCCGCCTTCAGGGCCTCTGGGGAGGGAGCAGGTGCCCTTGTGACCCAGACACCTGTGCCTTATATTAGATAAGTGGCTCCAGTCCCCTCTGGGATCTGGGCTTTTCTTATCAGAGATAAGAGTGGGTGGGGGTGGGGAAGCCACAAACTGCATCCACAGAACAAAAGCCGAAGGAGCCTGGGGGGGGCTGCCCCCTGGCTGAACCCCAGGCAGGTAGGGGATCCTGCAGGACCCTGAGTGGCAGGCTTCCTGGACACTGGCTGGCACAGGGCCCGGGGCCCGGCCGGCCCAACCTTGCCTTTTGTCTCTGCCACCTACTTTTTGAGCTCCTAGTCTGGTCCTGCTGGACCAATTAGGGGGTACTTGAAAATTCCTGAGAGCTGTGCTGTCGTAAGGGGCCGGACAGGCAGGTGCTTTGGGCCCCACTCTCCCTTGCCAGTGTGGTGGCCCTCAGGTTGTTATCTGCACTGGGGGTTGTATGATGAAGAGGCTGGAAGATTGAGGGCCTGGACAATCTTGTGGCTTTACCCCAAAAAACCCCAACTCTGAGGCTGTGGGGAGGGAGGGAGAGCCATCCCCCAGGGAGAAAAAGGCTGCCTTGTGAAGGTCCTACTTGGGCTTTTTTTTTTTTTTTTTCCATTTGTATTGCGATTTGGGTGAAAAGTTTACAGCGCAAATTCATCTTCCATTCAGCAGTTCACACACACTGTCTGATGACATGCATTGCAATTTTCCACAATGCAACAGCTCTCTTCCCACTTCTTCCCCATAGTTTCCTCTTCCCTGTGTCCATCCCTCCCATGCACTCCTGCCTCCCGAGCTGTCTCCTGAACATACACAGACCTTCTATTCTCCCATGATTGATCTCTCCACGGAGTGTATCTACCCAATGTAAATGTTCAGCTCATGTGCCTGTCTTTTGTTTGGCTGGAAGCCACAGGAGTGGGTTCCATTTCCAGACCTGAAGGGCAGCTAGGGGTCATAGTCTCAGGGGTCCCACCAGGCTCCATCAGACCAACAAACCTGGGCCTTTTTCTTTTTTTTAAATGATTTTGAGTTTTGTTCTACATTGTTCTCCCACTCTGTTCTGGGATCTCCTACCTAGATCCCCCTCCGAGTGGTTGACAGTGGTAGCCAGGCACCATCTAGTTCTTCTGGTCTCATAGTTGCATAGGCTGAGGATCGCATGGTGTACCAGTTGCTTGGACTAATTTTTTCCATGTGTCTGGTTTTCTTTATTCTTCTTTGCTCTGAACGAGGAGAGACCCATTGTTGCATCTAGATGGTCGCTTGCAAGCTTTTAAGATCACAGTCGCTACTCGCCAAAGTAAGAGGTGGAACAATGTTTTTTGTGTAGTATGTTATGCCAATTGAGCTTGATGTCCCCTGTGACTATGGTCCTGAGCCCATAGGTCCAACCACTCACTCCCTCTGGGTAGCTGGCTATGGCCAAGAAGTGACTACAACCTTGTCCCTTGTCAGCTCTACTATATGCCTGGGAATTCTTACAGAACATACAAATACCGTTTAGAAACACTGTCTGCCAACCCTATACATGGTCATGGGCACACTCCCCACTGCATGTTGTTGTTGTTATGTGCCGTTGAGTCGGCCCCGACTCATAGCGACCCCTCCTTGGGTTTCCGAGGCAGTATCACTACGGAAGTAGGATTGCCCAACCTTCCTTCTGAGGAGTGGCTGGTGGGTTTGAACCGCCAGCCGTCTGGTTAGCAGGCAAGTGTCTTAGCCACTATGCTACCAGAGCTCCCCACTGCATAGACATACCTAATAGTTAAGATTATCCACCCATAATCAATGTTTGCCCTTCACTGACAACACAGTACTGTATGTGCACAAGGGTTCATCTTTGTTGTCTGTACCTCCCATGCATCTCTCTATGCCTTCCTCTTCCTCAATGCCACCATGTTGATCACTCACATTTGGTACATTGCCCTTCTCTTCACCCAAATCAATACTTATCTCTACCTAACAGTGTTCCCTCCCCTCCCCTCCCACCCCTGGTAACCAACAAGAAAATTTCTTTCCACAGATAAACCTTTCTTTGACTTTTTACAATAACAGACTAATACAATATTTATCCTTCTGTGACTGACTTATTTCACTCAACATAATGTCCTCCAAGTTCATCCATGTTATGCAGTGTATTGCAGATTCTATGTTATTCTTTAGGGTTGCATAGCATTCCATTGTGTGTATGTACCATAGTTTGGTTATCCATTCTTCTGTTGATGGACACCTAGGTTGTTTCCATCTTTCTGCTATTGTAAATAGTGCTGCGATGAACATGGGTGTGCGTATGTCTGTTCTTATCCTGGCTCTCACTTCTTTAGGATATATACCTAGTAATGGAATGGCTGGATCAAATGGTATTTCTAATTTGGGGGCAGCAACCTTGATCACTGGCACCCTGCTCTCTGACCTCCAAGCTCTAAGCCCCACTGCAACCCACAGGCCAGATACAGGGACTATGCCTGGGGCCCAGGCTGGCACTGCCTCACAGTGGCCTCGAAGGGGAGGGGAAAGTGGTGGTGTCCCAGTGGCTGCTGGGGTCCTCTGGGTGAGGGCATCTGGGCCTGCAGAGCTGGATAGTGGCCTGTGAAACTGCCCTTGGGGAACCCTCGTTTTTCTACGCTGGGAGCTGAGAGCCTGCAAAGTGGGGAGACAGAGCCATAGAAGAGCAGGGCCCAGCCTGCTGGATCTGGAGGGAAGGATGTCCATGGGTGTGGGGACACACGGCCTCCAGCAAGGTGTAACCAGACTCTGAGCCACCTGTCAACCCCAGCCTATTCCTCCACCTCCAGGGCCCCTCCCCGGGCCCCTTACATAAGGACCCTGGCAGGTCAGGCTGGCAGCCATGGCCTTCACTGACCTGCTAGACGCCCTGGGTGGCGTGGGCCGCTTCCAGCTCCTCTACACAGCCCTGCTTCTGCTGCCGTGCGGCCTGCTGGCCTGTCACAACTTCCTGCAGAACTTCACGGCCGCCGTGCCCTCTCATCACTGCCGAGGCCCCGCCAACTTCACCACAGCTGCCACCAACGACTCAGGAGCCTGGCTGAGGGCCACTGTGCCTCTGGACCAGGTCGGGGCTCCTGAGCCTTGCCAGCGCTTCACTGAGCCTCAGTGGGGCCTCCTGAACCCCAACACCTCCGTGCATGGGGCTGCCACAGAGGGCTGCCAGGACGGCTGGGTCTATGACCACAGCGTGTTCCCAGCCACCATAGTGACGGAGGTCAGCAGTGGCCGGGGCGGCAGGGGGGCGGCTGCCCGAGGCCCAGCTGCAGTGACCCTCTCTCCCCCTGCAGTGGGACCTGGTGTGTGAGGCCCGCACCCTGCGTGACCTGGCACAGTCCATCTATATGGCTGGCGTGCTGGTGGGCGCCGCCGTGTTTGGTAGCCTTGCGGACAGGTGAGCTCGGGAATGGGTGCCCCTGGGGAGCAGGTTCCCAGACACCCACTGCAGGCTTTTCATTTATTTTTCTTTATTAAAATCTTGTAGCATATTTTAAAATGTTGTTGTTGTTATGTGCTGTCGAGTTGGACCCGACTCATAGTGACCCCTCCTTGGGTTTCGGAGGCAGTATCACTATGGAAGTAGATTGCCCCATCTTCCTTCCGAGGAGTGGCTGCTGGTGGGTTTGAACCGCCAGCCTTCTGGTTAGCAGTCAAGTGCCTTAAGGACTTAGCTACCAGAGCTCCTATATTTTAAAATAGGTAACGCATATAACCTGTTCACATGGTTTAAAAGTCGAGTCTAAACATGGGTGAGGGCCATTTCCCTCCTGCCCAGCCCCCAGTTCTTTCATGCATATTCAAGCAGACGTGCATACAGGGTGTTCCCCTATTTATGCAAATGTTGGCACCCCACGACAGCCCATTGTTTTCACTGAACAGGCCTCATCATGTCGTTTTGGAAAGAGCTTTTCTCTCCTAACATCTGCAGTGTGTGCCTTGGACAGAGGACGAGCTAGAACTTGGCTGACCCGGCCCCTGTGATGGGCGTCAGCCTCTCAAGACAGAGGCCCTGGAATGTGACATCTTTCTGGTCCTTTCTTTCCAGGCTCTTTCTCCCCTTCTGTTCGCCCCTCTGCCCTCCCCTCCCCCTCTCCTCTTTCTCACCATTGTTGACACAGGTTCCTGCAGCAGCCACTCTGGGGGTCCTCTTCCAGCCGGCCAGTCCTGCACCCTGAAGCTCAGCCTCCTCCCCATGTGGGTGCCTGTGACCCTCATTGCACTGCCTCACGACGCGTCTTAGCCTTTCTGTGTCACAGCTACCCTCTTACACACAGCGTTTCATCTGAGAGGTTATCAGTGAGCGATGTGTGGAATGAATGAATGAGTGCGCCAGGGGCCGTGTGCAGAGGAGAGCCACCCAGCCCTTCTCGGTCTGCATCCTCTTGTCCACGAGCAGTGACCCTCACTTGCAAAACAGCAGTGCCACGGCTGCAGTAGGACAAACCTCCTGCCCTTGGACCGCAGCTTCCCCAACTCCAGGAGTTCAACTCAACCCTGGGCTCCTGTCCCCACCGGTCACCGACTCATCCGGTGACTTCCGTTTTGAGCGCCTCCCTCCTCGCCGCAGGAAGCGGTCGCTGCGACCACCCACCACCTCCCCACACACCCCTGGCCTTTCCCAGACCGGAAGGTTGTGGGCCCGGTAGGCAGTCCAGAAAAGTTGCTTGAATGAATGAAGCAAGGCAGGCTACATCTCTTTGTCTCCAACTTTCTTCCCTCCCCAGCAGCCCTCCCGCCTTCAGACCCCGGGTCCCCAGCGGGCGTGCGTTCCCGTTTGGGGGGCGTGGCTTTTGCGCAGGCACCAGCGCGCCCTCCCGCGGCGCCCCTCCGTGGGCAGGCGCGTGGAAGCAGCTGGCTCGCTCCCTTGCGCCCGCTCAGAACCCAGGCGCCTGTGCCTTTTCCGTGCAGGCTGGGCCGCAAGGGCCCCCTGATCTGGTCGTACCTGCAGCTGGCGGTAACCGGGGCCGCCGCGGCTTATTTCAGCTCCTTCAGCGCCTACTGCGCCTTCCGCTTCCTGACCGGCATGACCTTCTCGGGTATCATCCTCAACTCGCTGTCGCTGGGTGAGTCCCGCCAGGAGGGGCGCGGTGGGGGGTCTGGGGGAAACAGGGAGACCTGTTGGTAGCCCGTGCATTTTCTTATTCCTATAGATTTGTAAGAACTCTTCCACTATGAGGAAAATTAGCCCTTTCTGTTATTTGAGTTGCATTTTTTTTTTGCAGGTGTTATGACTTCGCTTTTTGTGTTCATTTTCAATGCAGGCGTTTCTTTCATGAAGTCGAATTTGTTATCTTTTTTCTTTTTTAATTGCATCTGGGTTTGGTGGCATCCTTTGCCTATTAAAATTGTTTTCTTTAAAAAATTCTACCATGAGAGAACAATCATGGGAGAAAGAAGGGCTGTGTATGCCCAGGGAGACAGCTCGGGGCAGGAGTGCATGGAGGGATGGACACTGGGAAGAGGTCACTATGGGGAGGAAGTGGGAGGGGAGCTGTTGGATTGGAGTAAATTGTAGTCAATGTCATGAGACGTGTGTGTGAACTGCTGTATGGAAAGTGAATTTGCTCTGTAAACTTTCGACCAAATCACACACACACACACACACACACACACAAAAGTAAACAAAAAAATTCTACCATGATTTCTTCTAATGTTTTTGTTGTTTTATTGTTTAAATCTAACTCTTTGACCTACGTGGAGTTTACTTGGGTGGAAGGAGTGAGGGGAGTCGCTGGGGGGCGGGGGGTTGCCAATGATTAATGCCAAAGGATGGGAGGCAGGAGTTCACCGGAAGTGTCTTGGAAGAAAGACTTGGAAATCTACTTCCGAAAAAATCAACTCTGAAAAGCCCTGTGTCGCGCAATTCTGGTCTGACACACATGGTGTCGTCCTGCGTCAGAATCGACTCCACAACCACTGTAAGGAGTGAGAGGGATGCTTTCCCTGTGTGTGTGTGTGTGTGTGTGTGTGAGCCCCTGGATTAGGGGAATTATTTCAGGCCAGCACCTCAGGTACCAGGCCAGGTGAATTAAATAGCCCCTGGGTGGCTGAGTTGCACTGAGCATGTTGTTTCTCCTCAGTCGTGGAGTGGATGCCCACCCGTGGCCGGACGGTGGCGGGCGTCCTCCTTGGCTACTCCTTCACCTGTGGCCAGGTCGTCCTGGCGACAATGGCATACCTGATCCGCCCCTGGCGGTGGCTGCAGTTTGCCGTCTCTGCTCCTTTCCTGATCTTTTTCCTCTATTCTTGGTACGTCCTGAGCAGAGTTGGGTGGGCGAGAGGACACCTGTGTATCCAAGCCCACACCTGGCCCTGTGTGCAGCCTGGGGTGTGCGTTGGCTGGGACTTGCTAGACGTGGTGAGGGTCATGAGTTTGTCTAGCTGTTGGGAAAATTCAGTCAAATCCCTTACTTGAGTGTGTGCTGCAGAACGTACCCCGGTGCTTTTGTCTTCATCAGCTCCGTTGGGCCTACAACAACCCCACATGGGGACACATAGTGTCTTATAGAACTGAGTCACAGCCCAGAGAGGGTCCTTCGTTTATTCAAAGCCACACAGCCAGAGGCAGAACCAGATTTGATACTGGGTCTGGCCCTATATTGTCTCTAAGTGCCCTTCACTGCTTCTGGTAGCATAGTGCCTAAGGCACTTGCCTGCTAACCAGAAGGCTGGCGGTTCAAACCCACCAGCCACTCCTCGGAAGGAAGATGGGGCAATCTACTTCTGTTATGATACTGCCTCAGAAACCCAGGGAGGGGTCGCTATGAGTCAGGTCTGACTTGACAGCATATAACAAAAAAAAAAAAAGGGTAACAGGCGTGTCCCCCAGCCTTTCTGGATTCTACAGACTGGAGGAAGTTTCACTTTTTATTTGGGTCTAAAAGAAGGTGAACGAAAGTGCACCTGGGTTCGGGGAATGGAATGAACCGCCTCCCAGCCCTGGGTCATTCCTCTTTCTTCTCCTGATCCCAGGTGGCTGCCAGAGTCACCTCGGTGGCTCCTGCTCCATGGCAGGTCCCAGATAGCGGTGCAGAACCTGGGGAAGGTGGCGGCGATAAACGGGAGAAAGGACGAAGGGGAGCGGCTGACCAAGGAGGTGAGGGGCTGGGCAGAGGGAAGGGTAGGAACAGTCTTCCATCTTGTTGGCTGCCTCCAGCTGTACTGGGGTTTGGTAGCTTCCCAGGACTCAGCCTGCAAGTTTAAACTGGTTGTTCTCGAGTCAGAGCTGACGCCCCGTGGCCTGAGCACGTCAGAGTAGAGGCGTGCTCTGTAGGGCTTTTAATGCCTGGTTTTTCAGAACTAGATTGCCTGGGCTTTCTTTTGAGGCACCTCTGGTTAGACTCACACCTCCAACCTTTGGGTAAGCAGCTGAGCACGTTAACCATTTGCTCCGCCCGGGGAGGGAGGGGAGGCTAGAGTCAGCTGTCACGCACCAGCCCTCCTCCCCACCCCGGAAGGGATTTCCAGCGGGGAAACGGGGTCTCTGCTTCCTCAATTCACCTGATTTGACTTTCCTCAACCAGGTGGTGAGCTCCTACATCCAGAGTGAGTTTGCAAGTGGCCGCACCTCTAACACAGTCTTGGACCTGTTCCGAACCCCAGCGATCCGGAAGGTCACATGCTGTCTTGTGGTGGTCTGGTAGGTGATGGGCTCCAGCCCGAGTCTCCGACCTGAGGCAGAGATTACCGTTTGTGTTCATTGACAAACTTTGTTCTAAGAAGCCCTTCCTACAATGACTGGGTGAACCCTGTGCATCCAGCCCTGTCCAATCCTTTCTCCAGCACGTGGCCCTCTGCAGGGGGCTGAGATGTGGCAATCGATGAGACATCTGTGATGATCTAGGGACCCACATGTGGCCAGAGGGGACACCTGTAGGAATCACCGAGGTGCATTTTCCAAAATGTACTTTGGCCCGTCCTATCTGGGGGATTCTGGGAAGTGTCCCACTCTGGAAAAACATTCTGTGTCCAGCAGTGAATAGACAGGGAAGCAATAATGTCCCTGCAAGTGTGACAAGTGTCACAACCACAGTTGTCTTGGTTGGGCTGCGTAGGGCTTCCTGCAGGAGGGAGCATTTAGGTGGCTTTTAATTGAGGTTGAAGGTGAGCGGGACATTCCCAACAGAGAGACTAAGGGGTACACAGGGGAAGCTGTGAAATGGCTGAGAATATGTAGGCAACTGTCCTGGTTCCCTGGTGCCGCTCTCACAAAAATATACCACAAACGGGATGGCCTTAACAAACAGGAGTTCATTCTTACAATTTGGAGGCTTTAAGTCCAGGTTCAAAGTGCCAGGCTCTAGGGGCTGGGTGAAAGCCCCTCAACCCTGGGGTCCAGCTCTGCCTCCTGCTCCCGGCCCACTGGAGCTAGAGGCGTTTCTTCACTCAGACAGCCCTGGCTGCTGAGGCTGAGAAGTCCCAAGGTTGACAAGTAAAAAGGCACAGTCCCGATGTTACCAAACCACACGGCAGGCCATTAACTTAAGTCCATTGTAAGTCCCAAGGTCGGCAGAGCATAGCAGGCTGCTGAGCAACAACACGGCTACATGCAGGGTCCAAGTGTGCCACAGGCTAGAGACCATTCTCAAAGCTTCTCCTTATATACAGGAAGCAGACCACATCCCAAAGGCAGCTACTCAGCTGCTTGTGGTAGATCCCACCATGGAGCTGATTGCCAGTCTTCTCATGGGGAATAACTACCACCAGCTGCCCAGCCACTCAACCAGGCCCAGCCAAGTTGACACACAAACACAACCATCACAGCATCCCATACCGTCAGCACAGGCTGCAACCCGGCAGATCCTTAAGGAGCCAGTCAAAAAAATAAATAAATAACCGCTTTTTGTTTTGATTCCTTGGATAATAAAGGAAAAACAAAACCAAACCCATTACTGACAAGTTGATTCGACTCACGACTCACGGCGGTGACCCCGTGTGTCACCGAGTGGAACTGCTTCTTGGGGTTTCCAAGGTTGTCAGGCTTTATGGGAGCAGACTGCCTTGTCTTCAGCCCATGGGGCAGCTGGTGGGTTTGAACTTTGACCTTTCTTTCGGTGATCAGCTGAGTGTTTAACCACTGTGCCCTCAGGGCTCCTATTTTAATAATTCAAAAAAAAAAACCCCAAACTTATTGCCAATGAGTCGATTCTGACTCTTTGCGACCCCCATTGGGTTTCTAAGGCTATAAATCTTTACAGAAGCAGACTGCCCCATCTTTCTTTTGTGGAGCAGATGGTTAACCTTTTTGGTTAGCAGCCAAACGTGTTAGCCACTGCACCACCAGAGCTCCTTATTTTACTAATAGGGGCTGATGTTTATGGAGTAGGAGAGGCAGGTGGTGGGTTGTATCTGTTCCCTGGAACAGACCTGGGTCCTTTGGCTTGGTATTTGGTGTCGCCCTGAGTAAGCCAGTGACCCGCTCTGTGCCTCAGTTCCCCCCTCTTCCGTACCTGCCCACTAGGTCCTTGCAAGGATTCCTTGTTACCCCTTACCATCGAGCCAGACTCTACTGATCCTATGTAACAGAGTAGAAGTGCCCCAGGGCTTCCAGGGCAGTAATCATTGGTAAGCCAATGGCCGTGTCTTCCTCCCGCTGGTGAAGCTACCGGTGGGGTCACACCACCGCCTTTTGGCCGGCGGCGAGTGCCTAGACCCTGTGCTGCCAGGGCTCCTTTCTGTGAGGATTCAAAGAGTTAGAAGAGATGAAACGCACGTCAGACTGCACGTGGTACCGGATGCTTTCGCGGTACGTGAGTCTTTGATCTCAGGTTTGGGTTTGGGACCACGTCTCCTGTGCACAGGCACTGTGGACACTCAGTGTCAAGCAGGGACGCTCTGGCCAAGCAGCAGGATGGTGCTCAGAACCCAAGTCCAGGGCAGGGACCTCTCATCCCAGTCACTTGTCCTTCTCCAGCCAGCCACTGCGTCACTTCCTCCCACTAGGAGGAAACAGATCATGAACTCACAATTCCAGTCGAGTCGAGTCTTGGATATTTCTGAAAAGAATAATCAAAGGCCTGTTTGTGTCTCTTTGGCAGCGGAGGGACCTGTCACACTGTTCAGGGGCTCAGCAGGCAGGTAGGGAAAGTTATTTGTGGGAGCAGGTCCCATGGACCCGTTTCCAGCTGCTCTGGGGCATCATGGGGTCATTCAAGACCCAATTTCCCAGCCCAGCCTGGACAATCAGTCATGGCCTTTTCTGAATCTGTTTCACTTGGCTGAAGGCTGGGAGCCCATCAGGCCAGAAAATACAAGTGGGCACTCCGTGTCCCACGGGTCCTGACGGATCAACCTCTTTATGACTCTTTTCCTACCTGTAGCATGGTCATCATCACAGTGCCTGCCTCAAAGGATTCTTGGGAAGGTCAGAAGGGTTAATGTGTATAAAGCAGGTAGGTATATGAGCTAAGTGTTTGCTGTTACTGCTGTAGGAGATAAGGGACCTGATAAGGAACCCTACTCCTTTTACCGACCCCAGCAGCAAACCCCGCGAGCCGTGGGTTTGTATCCTTCCAGACCTTCGTCTCTGTGCACACAACATAGACACTCGTACTACACACTTACAAAAATGGGCTAATAGCATACATATTCTGCTACTTATTTTTAAAACACGATCATATCCATGAATAGCTTTACCACATTATGTGAATCTAGCTCCTAGCACAAGGTAACTTTGCTATAAAAATTTTATGAATGAATGACCCAATGAATGAATGTAAAAATATCACACGCCCTGGAATTATAGGACGGCAAGGAATCCTGGAGAGTGTCTGGCCCCTGCCCATGCCCATATCATGTGCATACACCATCCTGACGGGACATGGTCCAGTCTCTCTGAGAGGACGTGTAGTTTTGGGGAGCTCACTCTCTCACAAGGCCTCCCCCTAACTTCTTTCCCTGCAGTTAAACAAGTAATGGCCAATTTTAGGGGGTATACTTACTCGTTTTCTACTGTTGACATGACAGATGACCACAACTTAGAGGCTTAAAATAACATCTGTGTGTGAGCTGGGGGTTCTGTAGGTTTGAAGTCCAGGTAGCACCTGGGTTAGGCCTCTGCTCAAAGGATTACAGCATTGAGATTAAGGTATTGGCTGGGCTGGGCTCCTTTCTAGAGGCCCTTGGGAAAAATCCACTTCCAAGCTCATTCAGATTGTTGGCTGACTTAGTTCCTTGTGGTGGTAGGATTGATGTCCCGTTTTCTCACCAGCTAGGAGCCAAGGGCTGCTCTTAGCTGCTAGAGGCCACCCACATTCCTTGCCGCATGACCCCCTCCATCTTCAATGGGAATTTCTCTCCCATCAAATTTCTTTCACACTTAGAATCTTAAATTTACCTGCCTTTGATCTCTAGACCCACATGTCAAGGGCTTGTGTGATTAGATCAGGCCCACCTAGAAAAATCTCCCCATGTAGGGTCAGTTGATTTGGGACCTTAGCTACATCCGCACAGTTCTTTTACAAGAACCCCTAGGTTAGTATTTGAATAATTGGGAAGAGGTATGTGTCTTAGTTACATAGCACTGCTATTAACAGAAATACCACAAGGGGATGGTTTTATCAAACAGAAAATTATTTTCTCACAGTTTGTTGTTGTTGTTGTTATGTGCCGTCGAGTCAGTCCTGACTCATAGCGACCCCTCCTTGGGTTTCCGAGGCAGTATCACTACGGAAGTAGGATTGCCCAACCTTCCTTCCGAGGAGTGGCTGGTGGGTTTGAACCGCCAGCCTTCTGGTTAGCAGTCAAGTGTCTTAGGCACTAAGCTACCAGAGTTTAGGAGGCTAGAAGTCTGAATTCAGGGTACTGGCTCTAGGGGATGGCTTTCTTTCTCTGTTGGCTCTGGAAAAAGATCCTTATCTCTTTTCATCTTCTGTACCTTGGCTCCTTGGTAATTTTCATGTGGTGTGGTAGTTAAGGTTGTATATCAACTTGGCTGGGCCGTGGCTCTGAGTGGCTGGGCAGCTGGATGTAGTTATTCCCCATGATGAGACTGTAATCACCTCCCTGGTGGAATCTGCTGTGAGCTGCCAAGTGGTTGAAGGGGTGTTGCCTTTGGGGTGTGGCCTTTGGGGTATGGCCTGTGGAGAAGCTTCAGGGAAGGTCTCTAGCTCTTTGGCACATTTGGATCCTGCCTTTGGCCAGGTCACCGTCTCCAGTCCCTGGACTTGAGTAGATGGCCTGCCATGTTGCCTGCTGACCTTGGGGTTATGCCATTTTACCTGCCGACCTTAGTGTGTCAGCCTCAGCAGCCAGCAGCTGTGTGAGTTAGGAGAAGCCTCCATGTCCAGTGGGCCTGAAACAAGAGGTAGAGCTGGAGCCAGGTTTGAGGGGCCTTCACCCTGTGCCTAGAGCCGGCTCTCTGAATTTGGACGTCTAGCTTTCTGAACTGTAAGAGAATCAACTCCTGTTTGTTGAAGCCATCCCCTTGTGGTATTCTGTTACAGCAGCAAGAGAGAGCTAACACATGTGAGTTGCCTCCATCTTTCCCCAGCTCTGCTTGCTGAATCTGCTCTTTATATTTAAAAGAGATTAACTCAAGGCTCAACCTACTCTAATCCTGCCTTTACTAACATAACAAAGAAAACCCATTCACAAATGGGGCTATATCCCCAGGTTAGGATTAACAACACCTATTTTGGTGGATAAGGAGCTCTGATAGCACGATGACTAAGGCATCTGACTGTTAGCCAGAAGGTTGGTGGTTCAAACCCACCAGCCACTCTGTGCAAGCAAGACTGGACAATCTATTTCTGTAAAGATTTACTGCCTTGGAAACCCAATGGGAGTCGCCATGAGTTAGAATAATCGACTCAATGTCAGTGAATTTGGTTTTTATTTTTTCATTTTGGAGGATACAATTCAATCCGTTACAGTATGTGTACAACAAAAACCCAAACCAAACAAAAAATGAGTTGCCGTGGGGTCAATTCTGATTGATGGCGACCCCGTGAGTGTCAGAGGAGTGCTGTCTGTGTTCACGGGGTTTTCAGCGGCTGTGACAATTTGGAAGTAGGTCACAAGGGCTTTCTTACAAGGCACCCCGTATCCTAATCCCAGATCTTGTGAATACGATACCTTACACGGCAAGAGGAACTTGTTGTTGTGGTTGTTATGTGCTGTGGAGTCAGACCTGACTCATAGCAACCCCTCCTTGGGTTTCCGAGGCAGTATCACTACGGAAGTAGGATCGCCCAACCTTCCTTCCAAGGAGTGGCTGGTAGGTTTGAACCACCAGCCTTCTGGTTAGCAAGTCAGGTGCCTTAGGAATGATTTAAGTCAAGGATCTTGAGATCGAAGATTGTTTGTGGTGGTTGTGAGGGAGGCAAGTAAAGGTGGTGTCTTCAGTTGGGAGCCTTACCTTCCTGCTGATGTCCCAGGTCCCACAGGACTCCGTTGGCATTTTTCTAGGTTTCCTCTTCGATGATTTAGGATTTGGTGGTCCCAGGAGCCATCAGGAGAAAAGCATCATTTTGGTTTATCCCTTGACATACATGTTTTATCTGCGTTTATATTTTATAGCTCAGGGACTACAGCGTTTTAACATAACTGAGCAGGAATGGGGTCTTTCCCATTCTGACCCTTGGAAAGTCATTCTCACCTGGAGATGGAAATAGGGCCCCCCTTAAAAATTTGTTCTTCCTTTTTTAAGAGGCAGGAAGAGGTCTCTTGGCTGCTAGAGAGGTCCGTCTGCGATTGCACCCTGAAACAACGGGGTCCTTCCTGAAATGCACACAATCAGGGTGTGGCTGTGGACTCCTTGGCAGAGAAGGGGATGTGAGGAGGAGGAGGACAGAAGTGGAGTCATCACAGGGTCCTGTGAGCACTCGATCCACATCCTGAGCCCGTCTCTGCTGTCCTCTGGTCCACGTCGCTCCACATCCTGCCAGAGACGTGCCAAATGATTGGGAAAAACAGCGAGAGGCTCAGAAGCTCTTCAAAGGAAGGGGACCACAGTGTTCGTCCAGAAGCCTCTGAGACAGGAATGTTGTTGCTGGTAGCTGCCGTGGAGTCGGCTCTGAGTCACAGCGACTCCACGTGTGACAGAAGGAAGCGTTGCCTGTCCTGCGCCATCTCAGTGGTCATTGGCGCTTGACCCATTATGGTGGCCACTCTGTATTCTGAGTTCTTTCCGGTTTAGGGGAGTCCCTTCTGGTTTAGGGGCTTGTCTCCCAGCTCTGTGCCGGACACCGTTCTGTCGTGCTGCAGGGGGCTCTCACTGGCTAATTTCAGGAATTGGGTGTCCAGAACTTTCTTCCTAGTCTGTCTTAGTGTGAAAGCTCCTCTGAGCCCTGCCCACCATGGGCGACCTTGCCGGTATGTGAATTATTGGTGACGTAGCTTCCAGCATCATAGGGACACTCAAGTCGCCACAGGACAACGTACTGATGGGTGGTGGAGGCAAACACTGGGGATGATGGGTTGTTTCTTTTTTTTTTTTTTAGTTTTTAACATGACACACAGTTCTTTTGACTATGGGTCATTCCTACATGGTCCCCACACCAGACTGGGAGCCATGTGGGGGCAGGGCACTTGTCCCCGCATGCCCTGCTGCGGTGGGCCCAGACCTTACATGTGTCAAGGAGCAAAGGAGTGAGTAATGGAGCTGTGAAGGGAAGAACATTAGCATCTGAGGGACGGAAGGGGGAGAAAACAGAGGAATAGTGACCGAGGGGAGAGCCCTGGGCAGTGCCAAGAAGGCCGAGACGAGGCACTGCCAAGAAGGGGACGTGAGTGGTGGACAAGAGCAGGGTGAGAAGGACATCAGTGGGTGGTTCTTCAGTGGCCTTGATGTCCAGTCATCCAGGAGATGAATGAAGTAGAGTTGGTCTTTGCCAGGTCAAGCGAGCTACTCTCAAGTGTAACAACTCCAGACCATACAGCACCCACCTTCCCTGAAATGCCAAGGACCACAATACGTTTTACCCACTTTTTTTGTGTGCTTTGCTTTTTGTCCGAGTAGTAAAAACAATTATTTGAGACCTTGCCCCTTGCCTCTCCCTAGGACTAGGCTGGGGCTGACAGGGTACCGTGTCACTTTTCAGGGGGTTTCTTCCCCTCTCTCTGTCTCCACTGACCCTCACAGCTGGGATTTGGTGGGACGGGTGGTCGAGGTTCCTCAGTCAGGTGGTTTGGGGGCAGGTGCTGGTCCTTCTGGGAGAGCCCAGGGCTGGAGCCCCTCCCCTGTATGCTCCTGGGCCTGTGCCAGCCTGTGACCTGCACAGAATTAAACCCAGTCAACCCACACGGGCGCATGAGGGCCGGTCTCAGTGCCTTTTCCTCAGGGACCTTTTAAATTTCTGTAGAAAGCTCCAGTGTGTGGACTTTGTGGCTTTTCACCCTTCAGGCAGCGGAAGCAGCTGCCTGAAGTAAACACCGTGAGGGCTGCATGGATGCTTCACTTTGTTGTGTCCCTCTGACGTCAGGTGTGACACTCAGATCAGCCCCTGATGGCAGGGGGTCTGAAGTGGTGCTGATGGAAAATCGACACACGCTCCAGGGTCTGCAGAGCAGACTCCAGCAACGAGGCTGGAAGGGGATGAGGAGGGAGGCCTCTGGGCACCATGTCCAGAGCCAAGAGAGTTTGGAGACCGGGGGGTGGTGCCGTGCAAAGTCAGGGGATCTTAATTCCCCGAGGACAGGGGCTTGTCTCATTTCACCTTGTGTCCCCTCCTCAGGCCCAGAGCAGTGACCCAAACCATTCTGTCACCTCTCCCAGGTTCTCGAACTCAGTGGCTTACTACGGCCTGGCCATGGACCTGCAGAAGTTCGGGCTCAATATCTACCTGGTGCAGGTCCTGTTTGGGGTCATCGACATCCCAGCCATGCTGGTGGCCACCACCACCATGATTTATGTGGGGCGCCGAGTCACAGTGGCCTCTTTCCTCATCCTGGCTGGGTCCATGGTAATCATCAACATGTTTGTGCCAGAAGGTGAGCCACACAGCTCTGCCCTTACCACCCACCAAGCTGCGGGGAGGCAGGGCTCCCAGGACAACTGGGAGTCTCTGGGGTCTGGTGGGCAACAGATATGAGGACACAAGGCTGATGGGTGTTCTCCTGGATCTGGAAAGAGAACACCTGTCCACCCGTGGAGTTTTTATTAAGCCCTTAGTGCCTAATACTAGGGTGGTGGGGAAGGACCTCCAAAGGGCATGAGTCTGCGCTCAGAGAATTGACAGTGTTGCTGGGAGACTAGACCAATTCTTATGAAACAATTAGAGAGCAAAAGTCCTGGTTTGTGTGTGGTGAACAGTGTCTGTGTCCTTTAGAAGACTGGACAGGTGGCATCTCCAGGGTTGGGAGGTTGGGGTTTGAATCTGAGCGGGCTCCCTCTGGTGGTTGGCAATTGTAACTGTCATCACCAGAAGGCTTGACAACTCCCAGTACTCGGGTCACCCTCCAGGCCAAAGTAGTTACATTCTCCAGTGGTGCTACCTAAGCCCCAGTTTACAAAGCTCCCCAGTGAACAAGCAGCCAAGGTTGAGAGTCAGCAGTCTAGAGAGTGAGCTCAGCCATCCTGCCCAGGCGTGACCCCAGCTTTGCCACCAAGGCCTTGGACAAATTGCCAACTTCTCTAGGCTTCAGTTCCTCACCTGTAAAGTGACTACATTGTTAACATGGGTAATTATAATGAATGGTGTCATTATCGGTATTTTGATATATTTTAGTCTAATCTGTTTTCTTACTTGTAGGTTTATCGAGTTATGTATATATGTAGTCTAATCTGTAAGAAAACAGATTAGACTGAAATAGATAAAAATACCATTATGCATGCATTTATGTATATTGAATAGATGTACGTGCATTACATGCGTGTATGCAATGTACATGCATGTATGTACATTACATACCTGTATGTACATTACATGCATGTATATACATGCATATAATGTACATTGTATGTATATTAGCTGCTCCATGGGAGAGGGATAGGCCAGTCTACTTCCGTAATGTTTCCAAACCAGAAAAAAACGAAACTCAATGCTACTGAGTTGCTTCCAACTCATGGTGACCTTTCAGGACGGGGTGGAAGTGCCCGTGGCATTTCCTAGACTGTGAATCTTTATGGAGACAGACTGCCACACCTGCCTCCATGGAGCAGCTGGTGGATTCAAACTGCTGACCTGGTTAGCAGCCAGGTGCTTAACCCTGCACCAGCAGGGCTCCTCCATGAAGACCACAGCCTTGGAAACCTTGCTTGGCAGTTCTGCTCTGTCCTGTGGGGTTGCT